AAACAAGAGAACATTTTCCTCTTCAGGCGCCAGTTATATCCAATTAACTATCTGTATAAGAAAGATGTATATCGTTATCTATCTCATATAGCATAACGACACTACATGCTTTGAGAAATTTCAGGTAAAAATTACAATCAAAAGCAAAATACCTGATGAAATTAAACAGATTGCTAGATTTGACCCAGACAGCAGCTTAGTGCCAGGAACAGCAGTAGCTTCAAGAACTCTGACCAACCAAATAACAGGTATCAAGATCTGAACTTTCCAGGTTAGTTAAACTATCAGAAGTTTTCTAAGATGTGATAGTGAAATACTGCAAGCTCCATAATTTGGCAATTTTCCAGGTGAAAAAGAGGCCAACATACTCATCCTATAAGGAAAAACCCTCCAAATGAATGTCAACTGTCAGGCATGCCTTACTGTGAGAGAACGGTGTGCATACAATGTACCTTTTCTTGGAAAAAAGCATCGGGGTCTCAGTGCTCCAACAAAATCACATTGTACGGGAGCCTTTAGAACATTTTTATTTTCTAAAAATCAAGAAGTTGCATTGGCATGCAACTGACTGTGCCCTACATTTATTTAAAGGATGTATGTCCTCATGGTTAGACAGATTTTCAAATCACTATTTTACTTTCATCTCAGTCTTAGTGTCTTGCAATCAAGTCACACATAAAGTTGGCATGTATCTTGTAAGACAAACAAGAGATAGGACGAACTGCCATACTTTATTTGTTTAAAAGTAACCCTCACAAGCTGTTATATACCTATGAAAGTCCATTTTCATTTCCATATTAGCATGGTATGAGTCTGTTAAAATCAAATACCTGAGAATTGTACTGAAAGTCAGAACTCCTTTTTCAAGTTGTTTTTTTTTTTTTTTCCAGAACTAGTCGCTTTTCAGACAGCTAAATGGACACACAGAATACTACATAATAATCCTCTGATTCAGAGAAATTTGTATCCCATTTAACTTCTATGTTTGTACTTACTGACAGTTGCAGTCACACATGCAATTTTTCATGAGAGACTGTAAGAGTCTCTCATTGCTGCCTCCCTAACACAGTCCAAATATCTTAAATATCCAAAGTCTGGCCATTAAGTCCTAAACTTTAAAAGCTGCCTTGTCAAGAGGCCAGCTCAAAGGAAGACGGGTGTCTGGCTTACTGGAGAGCTTCCCAGAGGTGTAGCAGTATGACCTATTTGAAAGAAGAATGTAAAAGAGAAAAGCAAACAAACAGCATGACCAGTTTTTCCCTGCTTCTTGTTCTGCCCCCTTCACACTGAAGAGTTGTTAGTCTTGCTTCCCTCCCACTGGATACAACTGATTAACTCGTTAGCTTCCAGCCAGGCACTAACATATCCCATCGGATTTACCTCAATAGGATGACAGACCTTGAGCACGTGTCTGCAGACCGTCTTTTGTCATGCAATGCTCCTCAAGAGCATACATCTGGAGAACTACAGGCTTGAACTGTCTTGCTGCTATAGGATCTTTCTGGTTTAAATTTACCCATGGAGACTGAGATACCACATTCACAAACATTTTTATTCCTTTTGGAAAGTCTTTGCTTAGGTCTGTCCCCAGCTGTCTTTAGCTCTGATGCACTGTACCTTTAGAGCAGCATAGGGGATACACACAGCCTCACTGAAGGCTTCAGGAAAGCTGGAAAAATAGACTCTCAAATTCAGTTTGTCAGCTTCTCCAAAACGTTTCAAGGCCAAGAGGTTATTCCCCTTCTTAGTGCTTCTGCTGCTAAGCATCTCTCTTTCCATAGACTTGCTGGTAGTTTTGTACATGTTGATCATTAGCAAGAGGGATTTCTGTTTTTTCTTCCAACTTTCTTTTCCAGCTCCACCTCTTCTACAGCTCTTTAAGGCTAGTTATGGAAAAGTCTGCTTCCCAGTTTTAATGTATTACCTGAATTTGCAGACATTTCAGGGACTCTGTTAATTAATTTATTAATTTCCTTCTATTTTCAGACAGTTTTGTCCACAGATCTGTTTTTTTTCATCTAGTGAGCTAACAGCTCCTGACAGGGATGAGACTTTCATTATGGACATATGCCATTCCTTGCAACACTGATACTGTCTACATGATGCCAACTGTCTAAATCACTTACTTTCCTTGAATTTAGGGTGCCAACAAGCCTGGATTCAAATGGTAACAGTAACAACTTCTTGTGCTTCTGCCAAAGCTCTCAAGGTGTCCTCCAAATTAGGAAACACACATTTTGAAATGAGACTTTCATCAGTCAGAGCCACTCTGAGACATCCCTTAAATCCTGTGAGACTCGAGGGACATGCACCACTGGGTTTTCAATTTCAGGTGATGGTCTTGTGAATCCAGACAGACTTTCACTGTCTTTCCCTTTTGGGGGGGTGTGTGTGGGGGTGTGGGTTTGGGTGTGTGTTAATAGTCATGACCCCATCAGGGGAATATTACCACTCATATCTAGCTTCTTGTAACAAACCCCATGCTCCAAAATACAGCTTTTCTCCACAGTCTTTTCTTGCTTACCAAAAACCTGAAAGTCCTCTCATGGGATTGACAGAATTGTTACTAATTAAAGTTAAAAACCATTTAACCTTATTCTGCGTAGCTCCTGCCTTCCTTATAACCTTTCAAATGGTTCTAGCTGGGTCTGCCTGCCTCCTATCTTGCTTCCTTTCTGAACAAAGAGCAGTCTAAAAATGCCTTTTCTCTTTTGGCCATCTAGACATTGCTTTCAGTATCAAGGACTTTGCTTTCATGTCTTTTCTACACTTAGCCAAATCCATCCCATTTCTGTCACCATATATGACACAATGAGTGTGTCATATGGACAGTAATGGAAGAGAATCTCAGTAACATTATTAATGTTAGAATAAGAGAATCTCATTAACACCACATACTTCTTTTCAAGGATGCAATTGTATTATTTCAAAGCCAAACTGAAATGAAAACACAAACAGCATAGCCTGACAGGTTTAGCAGCACCTAATGCCTAGTCACTACTCCAAAGATAACTTGTTTTGCTGTCTCTTCTAAGCCTTCACAGCTGAAGAGGAAGAGAGTGAGGAAACTAATGCTTGGTCTCCAGTTGTTTTGCTAACATATCCTAATTGACTCTTAACAAGTCAGAACAATATAGCGGCAGTTCACCCTTTCACAAGTCACATGCCTTTAAGAAATAACAGAGATATTCTTGATGCAATATGCAGTGATTCTAGCTCATCTTACAAGTTTTGGTCTCTCAAAGACGCTCTTTTTGGGTATCACAATTTCCCCATGCCTCTCTTTTCCAATTCTCTTCCCCTCCACTTTCTGCAATAGTTCCTCATTCCTCCTCCTAGGTGCTGCTGGTCACAAGTACATGAGCTAAGCACCAACACCCCAGGTTAAACTGCACATTGCCTAAAAATAAAAGTTCAAGATGGGTTCTGTAATAAACCATTTTAACTAATTTGCTAAGTTAAGCAAGGCAGGTACGTTACGCTTGAATGATTTGTAAATATCAAACCATAATATCCTGTTGTCTGAAATATGGTAAAAATAGAATATGGTACCCTGTGTGGATCTGAAATGATTTGTGATCACTATAACCTATATTATAATTATGATGAATGTTTGAATATCTATGGATAAAATATAAAGTGTGCTATTCACTTGAAACAATGTAGTCGCTTCTCAGAAACCCCACCAAGAGCTGGCATGTCATGGCTTCTCACCTAGAGATAACATGTAACCGCTTCTCAGAACACCCCCACCTAGAGCTGACATGTAACTGCTGTTGGAAGAAAAGCCCGCCAAAAGGCTGAGATCATGAGGCTTTTAAAAGATCCAATAGGAGAAAGGTGCACCAAGAGACCAAGGCTTCGAGACTTTCAAAAGACCCAATAGGAGGAGGACACGCACCCCAGCAACTCAAACAACCCAATGGAAAAGAGCAGGACAATTATCTGACGGGAGGAGATTGGTTAGGACGGTGGTACAGGAGTATAAAAGACGCTGCTTTTTAGAGCTTGGTGTGTGTCTTGGTGGAGCAGAGACTCCCGGCACACTCAGCACTGTTTGCTTGTCTCTATTCAAACAATAAATTTGGAATTCGGTGAGTCTAAATTTATTTATAACAGTTCTGTGCAGAATTTTGTGCTGTGTTAACAATTTATGGATAATAATAGAAAAGGGCAATTTATCCAAGACAGAAAAATCCAGTTACCAAAGCCAAATGGATGGTCTTATGGGAAAAAAACAACGTGTCATTCATTAACTTTCTGATGCAATCAATAGGCCACAGAAACAAAGGTCAAGTGGCTTTCTTCCCTGCTCTGAATTTTACCACAAAAAAGAGTAATTTTTGATGAGTTTTTTTTTTAAAAAAGGATGATAATGCTTGTTTGGACTAGTTGCATGAGATGAACGTCATCAACTGGAATTCACTGACCCATTTTTAACTTTCCAGCTCTTTTGAGACACTAAAAGAAAACTACATATACAGGACAGATGTTATCTTTCTTCTCCATGGTGTAATGGAATAGTCAACCTTTGTACAGTGGCCCAACTTGCATTCCAGTATTTGAATGAACATGCATCTAAATAAAAAAGCATCCTGTGTCAGTTGTGTCAAGCATCCATAAACCCCCAAGAGAGACAACTGTACATATAAATCTTGATCTCACATATCAGGTTAATATTTCTTGTGTTCACCCTTCTTCCTTATCTGCTAAGTGCAAGAGATTTTTTGATAAAAAGCAGTACATATTCTTCTATTTGACTGTTAATCTTTCTGATAGAACAGGTCACTTCTGCAGTTTGTCCAGACCATTAATACTCTTGGAAATTTCCTAAAGATTCCTCAGACGCATCTTATCTGTTAACTTTTAAAAAAACAAAACCTCTATCAGGAGTAAAACCAATCTGGTCTTATGTACATGTGTATTTTCATTTGAAATGGCACACAGCTGACAGTCTAAATTAGTTGGATTACCTTAGAAAATTATTTTATTTAAATTACCTTGTGTCGGGTTTTAGGTTTTCCACAGTAGAATGGGTTTGATTTGTAGTGATAATCGATTTCTCCTTTTCACCATCACTTGCTCCATTTTCAGTTGACACAACCTCATACTCTGGAAAATTACAGTAAAGAGAAATTTGCTTAAATGAGACCTCTTACTTAAGGTTCTTAGTTGCTCTCTCTTTTCTCATCTGATACCCACTCCTACTATCTAATAGGCTGTAAGGGCATTTTGTGCGAACCACTCTGGACATTAGTATGCTAAAATGGTTTGGAAAGAGAGGTCCAATTTCAGACTGCTGAGTGCCTAGCCCCTCATCCTTCCTCATAATTCAGACCTACGTTTTTAAGATTACCAAAGGAAACTGCCCAACTACCTTGGATTGTGCACTCAGGGAATCTGCCAGTTTCAAGTGAAATAATTTTGCATAAATTTTTCTGGTTTAATATGATTTATAGTGTCTCACTACTCTCTTTTCATGTCATTGTGATGTATCATCAAGCACAAGCTATAGTCTGAACAGGGAATGAAACAGATGTTTGGAAAGAAGATATCGCTTCAGTCATAGCCCTGTCCAAGACACAGTCTCTCTCTAACAGGCAACCCCTGTTCCAGTTTACAACAACCTCTTCTAATAAACACACTAAGTATATTGCTAATTTTCCTCTCTTTGCAAAGAAATTCACAACTTCCTCAGCCCCTTCCTAAAACCTGTCTATAATACGAAGTGCAACTTTACTAATTCTAAGCTAGTAAAGGAGAATGCTTTTCAAAGAATATTGCAATGAGCATTTAGATCTACAGCACAATGAATAAAGCAGGTGAAGACAGAGACCACCTACCAACAGCTACAAAACCTCTAGAAAACTACTTACTTTTCTGGGGTTTTTTAATGATTCATTTTCAAGTTCTTAACTGAATGCTATCAAGCTGTAGGGCTTTTTTTTTGTTTTGCTAAATTTTTTAGTTGTCAATACAAGGAAGACCCATTTGTTGTCTACACAGAAAGATAAAACATCTACAATGGGATTTCAGTGTTAAAAAGGAAAAAAACTCTCTTAACTGTTGCTGAACTCTCAGATCCTCACTCCTAGTAAATGTAGGAGATGTGTATGTAAATGAGCATCCACACACAAATTGACCCGATTTTGACCTCTGTTGTGCAACTGTGGCTTCCTTTGCACTCTTCTATGCAAAAAGCAACCATCAAAACTACTGAGGTAAATCATGTAAGACAGTGCAATTAAGTGGAAGTTCAGAGCAGCCCTAAATAGCTATGCATTAAAATTCCAAGCTTCTAAACCACAGCAATTTATATACATGTATGCACATGTGAATTTCAGATTTATTGCAATAGTTTCCAAAGGGACCTCTACACAGCATCTTTTATCTTTACTTCGTAACAGACTCAGTTATTTAGAACATATACAGAGCAACATAAAAGTTTAAAAGAGGTTTTAATAGTATGTCAGAAAGTCAGCATGAAGGAAGAAATTACTACAGATAGTGAAGATTTCAAAATTTCCATGTTCAGGAGTCCTCCTCCACTTCAGTCACCCATGAACAGCAAAAGACCAACCACTGTCTTTTAAAAACAATCTCACGGACCTTAGGAATGGGTGGCTCAGATGAGAAGAGGGGCAAAAAAAAGAAAGGAAGAAAAAAAAAAAGTAGAGGGCTTTTACTTCAGATCATTTAATCAAATGGGACCCCAATGCAACATCCAAAGACATTAGAACTGATGAGTATGTATTTGTGTAGAACATAACAGTGTTTCCTCTCTATGCATTTCCTTTTTATCTTTTAAAGATAAAAAAAGACCTTTTCGTATATAACCACCAAAGGCTGAGTGAACCATGGAGAAAAAAATACACACAAACCCCCTTATTTGCCCTAATTAAGCCTCATTAGAGAAATTATGTTTATTAGGAAGCACAGGAGAGAGGGTGGATCTCCACGGCCTTCAGTACATCCAGATAGAGAATTCGTAGGTAACTTTACGAGAATTCAATCTTTCTGCCTTCTGCCAGCACGGAGTCAATATGTGATTTAAACTTTTTAATTCATTCAAGTTGGAAAAAAAAACCCAGCACGTGTGAATGGGCATGCAAACACAAAGAACTATGGAGTGCAGCCAGCACCTGCTTGTTACTCAGTGCACAAGACAACTAACTGTCCTATGTTTCTGTGACAACACAACAGGAGTAGAAGAGAACCAGCAAAATGGTCTTGGTTCTTGATATTTGCAGCCTTTACGAAAACAAGGAAGTAAACTTGATCACTGTTTTGATTATTATTTGTCAGACCTTTCCATAACTAAAGTATGATATTGGTTTTAGGAATACCCAATACAATGAAATTCCTTGTGCATAGCTACAAGTCAAGCAAAGTAACTGTTTCAGAAAAATGGCTCAAAAAATTCTGTTTTCTATTTCCACTGTTCTATCTGAATCAGTGCATTAAAAAAAATGTGATGTCTAAATCAGATGATTGAAAAAACATGTATAAACTACAAAAATAAAAAGAGATGACAGAAAACTTGATTTAAGTCATACCGGTGCCAATATGAAATAATCACTAATTTCAGAAAATGGAATTCAATGCCTTCTCTTGAATTCAAAAAGCGTTCTTGGATGAGTCATTAACTGAAAAATTTTCAGACAAAGACAAGCTCCACGAGAGTATTCGTAAGCCACAGGGTACAAAAATTTTGTATTACACTTTTAAGTTAAAAAGAATGAAGAAGGTATTTATGGGAAAGCGGTTACATCTAGATAGGAAGATAGTTAGATTTCAAACTAAAGTTTCTCTCAGTGAAGCAAAAAGGGTATTAGTTAAATATTCTGCAGAAGGTTTTAATCTTTTCTAGAATGGGGAAGGGTATGCCAGGTGTCTCAGTTATCACAGTATAGTCTTATAGAAGAGAAGAAACTTCATGGAAAGTTAGCTTTTACAATTGCAGATTACAAACAAACAGAGAAAGGTCCACCTAAAGTCTCAAAAGAAACAGCGTTGCTTGCTCTAGATTTCACAACACACATTGAAAAAGAAAGGAAGTAGTATCACAAGGCAATTAGGTCTTGCTCTCATCATTAGATGATGTGTGCCAACAGTTCTACCAGCTATAGTAGAAATGTTTTTCTATTTTTGCAATGCAACTGATTGTGCTGCAGTGGGTTCATTAACATACTCAAGAAAACCGGCAGGTCTACTTCCAAGAAAACAGGCAGACTAAATGACATTACCCGACTGGTCTGTGGAGGAGGCCTCCAAATGACACATCAACAAAAAGGCTTTTCACTGAACAAAAAGACGCATTGCAGAACTGCCTGGAATGGGGCGTGTTCACAGAGAGCCTATCCTCAGCCTAATTCTAAGGTTAGCAATAAACTCATATTTCCTTTTACACCAGGATGAAGCCCATCGTGGAAGGCAAGCCATGTAATAATTTTTCTCTCTAGTTGGTACTTTTTTATTCATTTACAGTCTTTTTTTATCCCCCTTTTGATCCAGCAGAAGGGCTAACTTTCTTCCCCTTTCCCAGAAGAAAAAAGTGCAGGCCAATTTTTGTTTTGAGTGTCCCTTTGGTTTTGCATTTATTGTTTTTCAAAACAGTGGGGAGAGCAAGAAAGAATAGAGGGTAAACCTAGTAATTATTTCTAAAATATCAAGGAAGGACTAATCTGGGGAAGAGCATGGCCTTTCTTATGACTGTCACCTAATTATAGCCCTACACTGAAATCTCTCATGACACATATACAACAACATCTGAAAACATCCCACTTACATGTTAAAGTGAATGGCTAATGGTCAAGGCTTAGTCTTCACAGTTCCTACTCTTATCTGTTCTACTCACCTGTAATGCAACACAGCCAAATCCATTTGGCCATGGCTGTCATGAGCCAGTGATTTTGCAAATCAAAGTTCTATGTTCATGGTAAAAACAAAGGCCATTTTCCCAACAGCACAGGAGAATCATTGTTTTCAGTTCTTAGTTAATTTAAACATTCAACTTTGGTAAGCTTGTGCTGATATACAGAAGATGACAGAAAAATTACGAATGGTCATCTTGCACTCTTACATGCCTATGTACTGATTGCTGCACGATTCACAAGGATTTATCCTCAGTACAAAAACCTTCCTTTGGAAATGAAAATAGCGGATTCTTTTTACATAGAGAATTTGGTGACACTATGGTGGGTACAACAAGTATTACACTGGCAGAGTTCTACTGACTTACTAGAAGGATGTAAGGTTTCATTGAGTCTGGCCCTCTGATCAACAACATCCTGAAGTCAAAAAAGATGTCTACATTATGTGTGTTCATCTATATAATAAAGACTACTGTCACATTGCTGGAACTTCTTGACTAGATCTTACCAGATCCTGTACACAGAGAAGCCAGAAATTAAGAGAAGATGCAGAGTCATGCTTTTTGAGTATCATTTTGTGTCACTGACACCAATGATATAGTTGTGAAAATCTTGTTCTAATCCAGTAGCATTTTCTTATCCACACTGGAGCTGACTGTAGCGCAAAATAAAAGCACTGGGGTATGCCTCCCTTGGGATTAAAATATTTTTTAAATGGCATAAAACCAGTGTGACAGTAAAATTAAGCTGGACATACTGTATTCTGATACAATGGAGGAAAGAAATCAAACCAACCAGTAACAGTGTCATTGTCTGGTTTTTCCCAGTCCAATATGACGAAAGTTGGACAGCCCTCAACAGTCACCACTGTGAGGTTCGTTGGAGGATTTTGTGGAGGACGAGTAGGTTCTTCCTTGCTGCCCCCTTCTTCTTGAGGAAAATGTTCAAGAGAGCTTGTGATAGAGCAAGGTACATCATCATCTTTCTTCATGTACTTGACGTGGGGGGCTAAAAGCAATAGGAAAGAGCTGTTATTCAATACAGTGTTTTTACAAAATGTCAACGCCATTTCGCCTAATGCACAACTTCTATCTCAGAACACCAAGTAAAAATCTGCACAAGTCAAACATCAATAATTAAGAACAAAAGCCATATATTCAATATTAAGCTGCTTGTTCCGATGTTTATTGTTGTTAGACCTGGAATCTGCACTGCCTTTACCCCCTTTCCCACTTGCTCCACTGATGAACTATCATTCTGAAGGTATTAGTGGGTGATACATGCTGTTTGAAAGAATTAAATTGTCATAAAACAGAACAATTGACTTTAGTTCTTCTACTTTAAATGACACTACAATTCCATTTACTTTTGAGCACTATGTGAATATAAGGACATAATGCCTATCACCACTTTGTTTCATCAGAAAGACTAACAAGTTTAGTCCAGAATCATTCTATCATTAAACTTTCAGTTTCTAGAGTGTCAAAATCTTAACCATTTTTAGTGGTACAGGACCAAACCTTGAAACAAACCTGAGGCAAATATCTTGTACTCAGTCCAAATTAGGAAGATTACAAAAGATAAATGCATTAGTTTTAAAATTAAAATTATTGAATGTAAACAATAAGCTCTTGCAAGAAAGGGTCTTCAGAAATGTACTGTACCAGCGCAAGAAAAAAACCCTGAAAAATCTTTTGGTACAAAAACATTTCTTCCTGTCATCTCACCTTGCTGAACTCTCTAGATTACTTCAATAGCAATAACTTGATTACTTTAATAATCTAGTCTAGTATGTATTACAGTATTATTAGACTATCTGAATGTGCACAGCCTGAAATGAGAGGTGAGGCATATACGACGGGTAGCTATCACGTACAGCAAGGTGCACTGGTATTGGGGCAATACCACTCCAGGTACTGTTTGCAAGCCCACAGCAAGATTTTCACTTGCTCTGGTGGAATGTGAACAGTGTGCAGTTGTACTACTACTGGCGTACAGAAAGAGCCACAATGTTTGTGGGCAAGACTATAAGCTAGGAAGTGGTAGCAGGGAAGAAAGTAGAAGTAAAATTTAGTCAAGATTACACTGTAGGTCTGTGCTACATCCCTTTCATCTGACAATAAAGTGAAACAGAATCAAATTAAGTTTTGGCCTTTGAATAAACACAGAAGATAATTTTGATGCAAGGAATGTCAGTCTTCATATATTCCCCCAAATAAAAATACCTGAGCTATTCAAACCCTACCTTGGTACCTTGGTTTGCCTGAAGAATCTGTTTCTGATGTAGGACTTGAGCTGAAGACAGTTGCATCAACTGTGGGAAACACAGTTATAATTTAATTTGCAATACATACAAAGTTTCAGTGTTGGAACAGCAGCATTTCACTGGTCATTTGGTATTTTAAATCATGGTAAAGCTCTTCCATGCTAGAATTTTGCTGCCAGATCTGTGTTTTAAGGACTCCATTTTGGCTGTGATGCTAAGTAAACCCCATACTTACCTCCTAGTATAGCCATAATCAAAATGACAGACTTCATGACTGCTCCTGGATTCAGTTCATGCAATATATGCAAAATGCTCTTTAGGCCTTTTAAAAAGGATGGTTTTGCACTGTACTGGCTGTTTAGCTTGAAGCTTGTTTCACATTCATAGAATATATACCACTATTATGTTAGCACATTAGCTTCTCTAAAAATAGCAACAAGGAGATCACAAATTCTGCCTTCAGAGTGTACAACTTGCACAAAATTTGAAGGGAATTGAAGGCAAATACACTGGTGAACAGAAATGTTCTAAAGCAGTCAGGATTCATGACACCAGTGTTGCTTTACATCACCATTATACAGAATAGAATCTTCTCTTAGGTGCAAATACTACCATGGACCTCAATGGACAAAACACAATATATTCACAACAAGGATTTTTTAATAAATCTAGCATCCAGCTTGCTTAACTGAGTGCTAAGGGTCACAGTGACTTCATGATCATTATAAGGAGATAAGAATTTCAGTATTACTATAAATCCAGGAAAATTAGGAATGGCATAATTTATGACAATATACCTAAAGCTTCATATTTAGGCTCAAAAACTCTAAGCACACCTTCTTCCAAACCCATTCCTGTATGCCAGTTTGAGGAGATATAGGTCTGAACTTGTAGCTAACTCCCAATTTTATAAAGGGCAAACTACCAACATACCACTATGTTTATCCTATTACATTTTTTTCCATTTAAATGGTGGCAGTTTGATCAGATAGCTAGGAGGATATCACAACCATGTTGAGCACTATCAGTCACTGTCAAATAAATTTGAATTTGTCCTGTGCAAAAATAAATGTTTAGAAAAAAAAAGTGCCATAGCTACTCCCTTCACAGATTTAAAGTAGCCACTGAATAGTACTGAAAGCCTACTACGCAAGTATTGAATTTTAGGAAAATGGAAGGGCTCTCATGTTCTCATTTACCAAGGCATCTATCAGCAGACAGCCAGATAAACTCACTCAAGTTAGAAAAGTTGCAAAGTGGCATAAAGGAAATCAGAATCACTGAAGGCTGAATACAAGTGTATAGTTTAGGAAAAAGAAGCAAAAGAACAAAAGGAAATCTTTATGTTCACGGGGGAAAAAAAACCAAACCAAACCAACCAACCAAACAAACAAAAAACACCAACCACAAAAAAAAACAGAAACCAGAACTATCTGTAATATGCTTACCATAATACTCTGGAGTTGCAAAAGCTGTTGGTGTTTTATATGATGTTCCTGTTCTCACAGGTGTTGTTGGTCCAGCAGATTTAGCTATAGTGACAGAAGGAGGAACTTGTGGCAATGAGGCATTCAGTTTTTAAATGTGAAAAACAGCTTTCTGATTTTCTAACAAAACTCAGATTTGTGACAACTGCTTCATAAAACAAGGACTTTCATTTAAACTATCATAATCCCTCAGAATTTATACAACAACTTCCAGTTGGATTTAGGAAAGTTCTGACTTGTCCTTATTGCCAATATAAACTACCCCTGAAACCCAGTAACAAAATTCTTTGTTCCTTGGAGATTGTCTTGGAGGACTTCAGTCAGCTAGATATGACCTGGTTTAATGCACAGAATCATTCTACACAGACTGGTAGGACACAAAATTACCAGCATTGACATTTCTGTTTCTAAAATAAAAGAGCATATTTCTTCATGAGTTGTAAGAGGGAATAGCTGAAGTCAGCAACTGAAACTTAGATTCTTCTGTCAGATATAGGTAAGGTCCTTTCATTTCTACTCTCAATACAGCATATATATATTAGTAAGGCTGGAGCTGGAACGTGTAATGATAAATCCTGAGTAACTATGATCTGCACTAAGAATTTACCACAGAACAGTCCTAGGGCTTCCACTAAATGACATGAAGACGCACTACAGATGAAGGTAAAAACTGCAAACAAGTCCATTTTCAACATTTATAACACTACATAACCCAAGGGAAGAAACTTTCTTTCTGAACTGATATATTCTGTAGTAGGCACTGTAAGTTTGGACAGAAACTAACAGATAGAAGCAACATTATCTCCCATAATTAAACAGCTATTAGAAAAATCATTTTAGATTATGTGACATTGCTTTTACTTCTCAGCTGTTAGCACCAAATAAAGAAAACAGGTTTTTAAGAGGCAAACAATCCATGGTAAAGGATGTCTTCATTGTTTTCAAAATAGCTGTAAAAAACAAAAAGTACATTCACGAAACATGCAGATGCTCCCAGATAACCACTGCATGACTTTGAAATCTCAATCCCAAAAGTCAAGAACTACACAATGTAGTTACCTTCCCTGCATATCTGACACAGAAGAACATGGTGACCAAAGTCAGAACTCTGATGAACCAAGCTGAAAACAAGAAAAAAACCTCTACCTTCCATTAATTTCCTTAATCAACTGGTTAAGAGTCTCATAATAAAGATTTTCTCCCTACTTTCCACTAATTTCCTTAATAAAGTGGAAATGTATTAAGATTCTCACTACAGTTTAGTTTTCACAAAGGTTATGGAACTTTCTTATTTCCTTTTTTTCCATTCAGGAGACTTTCAATGTCTGCACAGAAACCTTCCCATAATACTCATCCACTGGATGAGTAGGAAAGATACAAGTAAGGAATTAATCACAGTGTTAATGAGAAAGAGAAATAGGACAGAATTATGAAAGGGAAAATCCGAGAAGAACATTGAAGCAAGTTTTTCCTGTTAGTACTGTGGAACAGTTTCTCCAGGGAACCAGAAGGAACTAAATTATGATGTTTAAAACTAAGCTGGATAAAAAACACTAGGAAACACAGAAAAAGGAAAATCTACTACTGACCCCACAAGGAAGAATCAGATCATATAACCAATTTATTCCATCTTGAATGCTTAGGAAAGTATGGCAACTTCTGACTACCACATAACCTGGCCTCTTCTCTATGGAAAAAGGGTGAAATTTCAAAACACTGGCAAATTAATTAGACAATTAATGGAGAAAATTAGCAGAGAGCCCATTACAAGCAAAAGAAAATGTATTCAGTCAACATTTTTTAATGCTATATCTTAAGACTGACAATTCTGATGTTCTGTTGTAGCTATTACTAAGGAAACACCACCTATCAACAGCAAGTACAGGCACAACATTTCAATCTTGGCTCTGTTGTTGAGTAAATATACAACTTGTTTCAGCTAGCTTGTATTCTTGCTTCTAATCTGCTGTGCAAAATACTGAAGAATTATTTAGGTTTTTAGTGCCTTAATAGCACACAAAGACCCAAATGAAAGAAACAAAACAAACCAAAACAAACCCAAAAGGAAATACAGCAGAGCTTTATATTTCTAGTGAACTACAGACAGTAATATGAAAAGGAAAGCATTTCTCATGATGCTAAGCATAATGAGATGATAGTTTCTGACTACTGTAGTAACATTATCCTAAGGATTCTTATATAGTATCCACAGACAAGACATACATAAGGATACTAAATATAATTTTTAAAAAATATGAAATGTGAAAGTTTCTGAGTGCTCTTACACTTAGTATATACTAAGAAGCAGGAACACTGTAGCACAGGAATAAGGCTAAACTCTTTGCACATGAAATAATGTAGCTCACTCTACCTCCCAGTGCAGTGAGTTTTCTGGGTGCCTATTAGCTGCTTCTTTGCTGTGGTTAATGGATGTGCCATATATATGGGACAGAATTTATTTAAAAATAACCAGTTGGAGTATGCACCGAAGCTTAATATTCAGTATCTCCCGACATGCACATTAAGTAACTAAATGCTACTAGTAGACATGAAATGTTCTTAAGGTTGATCTTAAAGGATGACTTGCATTATGCTATTTTGCTTTCAGCTTCCTTACTAGAGATGATTTTGACATAACTAGGTTAGGGGGGGAAAAAAAAAAAAAAAGGAAACCAGAATTTATGTATGAAAACAAAAGACACAAGGCCTGTATGTTACAGAAGACTAGTTTCTATAGACAGCCCATATTAAAGCAAAAAAATCTGTACTGTAAAATTCTTCTATACCCTCCTAGTCACTTCAGTATTATCGCATACAAAATATTTATGCTGAAAAGGCTGAGATACCTGGAGTCCCTGGTTTACCAGTCACGGTGCTGGGAGGCAGAGGTTTCTTTCGCATTTGTGTAGGCTTGACAGGAGGTACAGGAGGATGTTGAGGGCCAGGTGATGTAGTTACTGAATGACATTAAAAGACAGTGTTATTGATTATTTAACCTCAAATTCCATGAAATCAGAAACCCATTGCAAGTTATATTCTGACTTCTCAAACAATGTTTCATGTCTGATTTAGTATCAAAAGAGAGGTGAGTTTAGGAGCTGAAATGAGTTGTATTTTCAGTCTTAAGTTCTTTGGGAAGTGTGTGCCATGGAGTTTTAAACCAAGTTTGCACTGAAAAAAATGTAGCTACTTTGGGATTTTGTACAAGTGTTTCAGTAATTCATTTTCTATGTAGTTACTCATTTCTGTCAATGGTTTTTGGCGGCCAACAGGATACTTCTTCCCACAATAAATACCACCTCAGTGTACTTGGAAACATCTTCAGTATCCCATTCAAAATTTCTGATCTTTTGTACTAACTGATAAAAGTGGTCACCCTCAGCTTGAAGCACAAAATGCAGCAAAAAGACAACTGTCACTAGGGACTATGCTGTTCAAAAGTGAAAAATTTTGAAAGTCACTTTCACTTCATGCGCTGACATGGCTAGAGATTGTTATTGTGTTAGAAATTCCTGAAGCACCCAACTAGGTTGTTTCAATGTGCAGTTCCAGCCAATATCTATTAAATTTATTTGGTAATTTTTACAGTGAGGCCTGGAAGGAATACCTAAGCCTCTTAATTCATCCTTACAAAACATTTTACTATATTTTTCCAGGCAATTATAAAGGATTTTGTTATACAAAGGAAAGGCAAAAGAAGAGTTTTCTCCCATTATTCACCCTTGCACTTCTTTCCTTAAGAAAAAAAAACAGGAGATGTGTGTAACATATTTATGTAACAAAAGACTTTTTGTACCTAACAGGGGAGAAGCCTCAAGAGTAATATAATTCTTACTATGCTGCCAATGTCAACAAATATGTAAGCTGCCTGATACTCAGTTACTGGCTACACAGACTACCTTGGGCCCTACATATCAAACCTTAGGTTACCTTAATAGAGTGACTGTGGGCGAGAAGGGAGCAGATCCAAAGATTCATTTGTGAGAGCCTTTTTAGAAATATACAAACAGGAACATCTCCATCTGTCTCTGTTTCGTTTTTCTTTTGGACTTGTGCAGTCACTCATAAACCACTTTTTTTTTTTTTTTTTTAAATCTCTCAGATCAAGACAGGAAATAATGTTCTATCTAATTCAGGAAAATGTAATGGATTTGAAAATAACAGTTGTACGTTTCACATTCAATCGTAATCCCTAATTGGAGATTTTTTAAAGTGCCTAAAGACCTGAAAAGGGATAATAAATCTCTGTATATATAAGTCACTATACCCTACATACTACTACACGGTAATATACATATAACTAATTTTCACCCTGCCCATATTTAGGGAATGGGATTCTCTGAGATATTTGTAGGGTAAAAGCATCCAAGTATTGACTTGTCAGTGGTTTCTGTTATATTTTCTGAACAACAAAACTTCAACAGTTACATGCAAGCAGAAACATCACATTCAGTAGACTGCGTCACAGTCGAATCTACTATACTGCACTCTGGAAAACCAAAAATCCTTACTCTTCCCTTATACTACTTCCACAATGATTTGGGTGATGGTCTATGATGCTATGAAATCTAATTAACAATGTGTGGAGACTGAACTTATAAACTAGGACACACAATGGAATTTAAGGAATCTGTGATAGCATAGATTCTTGCAAGGACAGTGGCATGGTGAACTATTAGGATTTATTTAGTCTCAGAGGTTCTTTGTGGACCGGGAATGTATTTCCTTGACTCTGTCACTCTTCATGAAAAAGGAGGGCATGCAGTCTCTTAGGACAGACTTTTAACACATCAAGCTTAATTCTTGTGTGCTGTAACCTATCTTTTTCATTTCTCATAAGTAGCATAAATGTAAATGTTTCAGTTAACACACACTAAGATTTCAGAAAAAGTAAATGTATTTAGAAGCAAAGTCAAATACTGGCTAGCTTATAGAAATATCTGATTAATCAGTCTCACGTCTTTGCCTGGTAAGATCATGGAACAGAACCTATGTCAAAGCATATGGATGACAGGGAGGTGATTAGAAACAGCCAACATGGCTTCACAAGGGAAAATTGTGCCTGACTAATCTGGTGGTGGCCTTTTACGGTGAAGTGACTCTGTTGGTGGATAAGGGAAGAGCAACAGATGTCACCTATCTTGAATTCTGCAAGGCCTCTGACACTGTACCACACAATATCCTTGTCGATAAACAGGAGAAATATGAGTTCGATGGATGAACTATTCAATGGAAAAGGAATTGGCTAGACAGCTCCATATAAAGACTTGCTGTCAATGACTCCATGTCCAAATGTAGATCAGTAATAAGTGCTGTTCCTCAGGGGTCTGTACTGGGACCAGCACTGTTTAACATCTTTACTGATGACAGACAGTGGGATCGAGTACACCCTCAGCAGTTTGCTGATGACACCGAGCTGTCTGGTACAGGGACATGCTGAAGGGAAGGGATGTGCCATCCAGAGAGACCTGGACAGGCTGGAGAGGGGGGACCATGCAAACCTCATGAAGTTCAACAAAGCCAAGTGCAAGGTCCTGCCCACGGGTTGGGGCAATCACTAGTCTCAGTACAGGCTGGGTGACAGATGAATTCAGAACAACCCTGCAGAGAATAACTTGGGGATGTTGGTAGGTGAATGTAAGTCAGAAATGTGTGCTTGAAGCCCAGAAAGCCAACTGTATCCTGGGCTGCATCAAGTGTGGCCAGCAGGTCGAGGGAGGGGATTCTCCCTCGGAGTAGACTCAGGTCTCGTGAGACCTCACCTGCATCCAGTTCTGGGGTCTCCAGTACAAGAAAGACATGGACCTGCTTGAGAGGGTCCAGAGGAGGCCACAAAAATGATCAGAGGGCTGGAACATCTCTCCTATGAAGAAAGTCTGAGAGAGTTTGGGTTGTGTAGGCTGTAGAAGGGAAGGCTCCAGCGAGACCTCATTGCAACATTCAGTACTTAAAGGGGGCTTATATGGAGAGAAACTTTTTATCAGGGCCTGTAGTGATAGGACAAGAGGTAACAGTTTTAAACTAAAAGACGGTAGATTTAGACTAAATATAAGGAAGAAATCCTTTATGGTGAGGGTGGTGAGACAGTGGCAGAGGTTTCCCAGAGCAGCTGTGGCTGCCCCTTCCCTGGCAGTGTTCCAGGCCAGGTTGGACGGGGCTTTGAGCAACCTGGACTAGTGGTTGCTATACATACTCTATACTATATACACTCTATACTATAGTTTTTCAGTCAAAACAGAAAATTTCTAAGAAGCTGACTAGAAAAAAGTGAAATACAAGAAGTCTATTTTTGAAGGCCTGTTTGGGGAATCTGTTTTTTGGTAAAAATATTTTGCTTGTTTTGAAAATATGATTGCAAGACCTGCAAGAAAAGTAAAACTGACAAGCCTGTTATAGCACATGTAAAAAACGCTGTAACCTTATTTACTCCACTTTGTCATTCTGCTTTAAGCCTAATGTTCTGATTTTCCCAACAATCCTAATATTCAACAAAACCTTCTCATAAATGGGAGGCCAATTTGGTTATGCATTCCCCTTCTTCTCCCTTGCTATGTAGAAACTATTAGTATGAAAAAAAATCAGTGCTTACAGTATTGTTTGATCATAAGGATACAACACTGTTAGTGGTAATTTTAACATATGGCATATGTTAGTGACTAGGTAGTGACCATGAAATAGTCTTATTTTTATCTTAGTTGCATCCTGAAGCCGGGAGAACATGTATTGATGAGTATGCCCAATAATTATTTTCCCTTCTTAGTGAAGGTGCTTTTCACGTAGGAAAGGTGGTGTTTTTATTTTCATAACTGTTAAAATTTTCCTATGTTGTCTTCTTTTATTAACCTTACCAGAAATTGGCTTTTCCCAGGTATCACTATATTCCAACGTTTTTTCCACATCCACACCAATTTGCCTGGCAATATCCTCAGGTGTATATACATCATCTGTGAAACAAAGAAAATTAAATAAGTATTTGCAGTGCAGTACCAAGTCATAAAATACTTGTATATTGCATATGTTAGCTAGAGTTTGAACTTAAAGTGCCAAACTGGCATATATGGCCCACCTACGTTTTTACTGATAACTCAGTGATACACGTTACCTTCCTATTCAAGGAAGTAGAAAATGATCTGGGTCTAGAGAATCTGCAATTTAATTTTAAACATTCCTTGAAAACAGTATATTTGGAAAGAGAGAATTAATAAGATTAAGAGAAAACAGATGAATTAAACCAAGATTACATGTGGAAAGATGAGTACAGAGAACATTTTAGTTTTTCAGTATACAGAATAAAATTCCCATTCTTTCTTGTAGACGGCAAAGTTCTCCACCTCCGCAAAATAATGGTTATCCTCCATATTGAATGGCTGGAGAAATTCTGAACCAAACATAGACCATATTTGGAGTTTTGGAGGCAAAGTGTACGTAAAATTCAGTTTGTATATAAAAGAAAGTCCTACTTAAAAGTTATATAAACACATTTTTAAAAAAACTGAAGTAAATGGCATTAAAAAGATCAACACAACTACTCCTGGTACAGAACAATGCTTTCATATGCCAATATTTATAGGACAGCCAGACTGCTAAATTAATATGCTTTCCCTATACAAAATAAGTGTATTTACTTTATAAAAACTCTCTATATGGTAGAGTGAGAAGATGCATTGCAATATCATCATGTTTGTGAGGAAAAAAAAATAATTACTCTCATGACTTAAGAAAAAAGCCCTGAAAGTTAATGTATTAAAAAAAAAATCTCAAAATTAAATTAATTATCAAATTCTAACTTTATTCCAACATGATCTAAACACTTAAATCAAAGATTTCATAGATTTAGTGCCCTTGATAAAACAAACTGAAATACCTTAGTACATGAATTCCTTTAGAACTTGGCTATACCCCCACAGTTTCAAAAATAAAACAAAAATAGAACACAAAGTTAATGGCCATTATAATGAAAACCAAATATCTCTCTCTTTCACATAGGAAATGGAAACATTGCTCAAAATTGGCTTGCTGAAGGTTTTCTGAAAGCTTAATAGATCAGAAGCAGTTTTTAAATAGGAAATTAAAAAACAAAACCAACCAAACCAAAACCAACCAAACCTCAGTAAGATAAGTAACACAGACTAAGACAAATACAAAAAACCATCTTGATAAAATGATATTCTAGAGAAAACAGCTAAAACATGGTAGAAAACTAAAAGGAATTTTAGTCATGAGGAGGCAATCCCTGCCTGTTTCCCACAGTCAAGTTTACCAGCTGGCACTACAGCTAGCCAGGAGACTGAAAAGCCTGCCAGGAAACCAGCCACATTCCTGTGTGCTGCTGCTGGAAAAAACAAATTTCACTGCTTATCATCTGGGCCCTGCATCCATCTGCCAAGCACACCCTGTATGGGGTGAAACATCTTGCATTGATGTTAAGGAGCACAATCAGGAAGACAAACTGGAGTATGTTCAACAACAGGGCCAGCCCAGCAAGGAATTAAAAGATCCAAACTGGTCTTCAAACAACAAAGTATCCATGGCGCTTCAGTAAATGCACTCTTCTTCAGAGAAAGAAAAATGATGTAATGTCTAAAGGTAAGCCTGAAAATATGTTGCTCCTCACAGTCCAGTTAAGTATTCTGATCAGCTTAAATCAGAAGTTAAGGATTCTGATCAGCTAACCACAAAAAATAACATACCATTTTCTTAATGGAAGAAACAAACTTCCTCACACCCAAAAATCTTCTGGATATCTTAAAATGTTTTAATTTCTCTAAGATATCACCTACTGAAAAGATAAACTTTTCTGTCTTTGCTCAGCTGGTAAGATTTAGGGTTCCAGGTTAGCAGAGTTGTATTTTCCAAATCTCTTCTGCAGACTTGAGAATTCTGTTTGCAATATATAATTGGGAGAGATACAGAAGATTTCTTTAACTGATTACCTTGTTGTGTGAAATGACTTTTGTTAGCACAAACACTCCATTTGTCACAACACTGTGATATACCTGCTTTACAGAAGACAGGATTTCACTTACTGATCATCAAGGAAAATAGACTGAAAAGCTGCAAAAAGCTGAAGTCCCCTCAATATCTCACAAATGTAAAAAAATTCATTTGTGATTTCTCTACACTTTTGAGAAGAAAGGTGCAGGCTCACAGAAAGATATAAATGAGTTGCTATGTCGCAGGGTTGGAGGCACAAAGAAATGGACAGTAGATAATAACTGCCAGCTCTTCCATAGTACTTTGGACATCAGGTTAAACTTAAAGGGCTCAGCTGGCAGCACACAAAATCTAGGTAACAGACATCTTCAGGACATTTTTTTAACTTAGAGAAAAAAGACTTATGTAACTGAGCAATGGAAAATATTACTAGAAGTATCATTTTCCAGAAGAATTCTAAAAGAAGGTACTTGTTTGCCTGTGAGTACACGCAGCATGCACAACAAGGTAATAGTCTTGTAATGATTTTTTTTTACATCATCTACCACAATGAAGATCTAGTTCTGCCTGGCAGCTACTATAAAGACATGGAAATAATGACAACCAGTGAGCATGCCAACAGGAGTAATTTAAAATAAGATTGCTTAAACCAATACTTCAGCAGTCACCTGAAACAGCGCTAAGCACAATAAACTACATTTAACAACTTACATGTCTACTATTATATTTATACTGCTGATTTACTTAGCATGTATTTCTTTTCTTCTTCTTTTCAATCTACAAATACCACTGCCAAGGTTACTACTGAATGAAAGAAGGGAAAAGCCTAATATATTATCTAACATAACTGTGTATTTGTGCATAATTTCATAACGTGCTTTCAAAATGACCTACTCCTGGACACCCGTGTGCATTCTGCCTCTTCGTAATCAGACATTAGAAAGCTCTCTTATAAGCAGACTGCCAGCACGAGCAGAGAACAAACCTTTCTGACTCACAACTACTGCCATTGATCGTTTAATACTCTAACTGTCTCTGATGTCCTGGAATTTGATGGGCTTATTTCATTTACTAGAAGGACTATGGCAGGTTGTGGGAGACATCGGCTTGTCAGCCCTACACAGCCTCTGAAAAGCAGCAAGGCTTTGATGAGAAACAGGCCTTGGGAGAAAGATAAGAAACTGCTGAGTTGTGCCAAGGTGGCAGGAAAAAACAACGGACACCTGCAACACTGAACTCTGGGAAAGTCCTGAACTGTGAGGAGTTACCGCCGCGTGAACAGCGCCTGAACAAGCAGGTGATTGGTGTGCACAGTGCATGTTAGAGTGTCTCATGCTGATAGGAGAAAGAGAGCTGTCTAATTGCTGATTTGCTAATTATGAAGTAAGAGCTTTGGCAAGAGCATAAGTATGTACTATTAGAAAAATAAATGGCTTTGCTTGATATAACTCTCACAGAGCTGAGCAGGTCCAATACCCTCCCGCAACAGCAGGTCAAGGAGCACATATCTCCAATGAAGGTATCAACTCTGTATGTAATACAGGCGAGCACGTCATGTTCTAGACTGACTATTTTAATTCAATTCAAATACACAACCATCTCTTCTAAGGTTTTGTCATTTCTAAAAACATGGTGGGCTTCTCAAAATTACATACAGGAATGAGTAGCTCAAATCATATTAAGGTCAACAACAGGTATTAAATTGCCAAAGACACTTTGGAATTCCCAGCACAGAGTGAAATTACACACTCATAAAAAGGAACGTGTAGAGTAGATGGCATATTACTGAGATTATCCTAAGCTAGCCAGCACAGAACAATAGTATGGGAGAGTAGCACTGTTAGTAGTGGGTGAACAGCCAAAAATTTGCTTTGAATATGTGAGGTATTTATTTATTTATATTATTTATTATTTAAAACGAATTATTGATGAAGAATCCCAAAATTCTGTATTTAATTAACCAATGTCTGTATTAAACAAAACAACAGTATTTGTATCGACATAATAAATTAATGCTTTATTAAATAAAAACCCATGGATTCATTATGAATTAGCACTGACAGCATTATTTTGATAATAGAAAAAATCAAGTACAATTGAAAAACGATAAATTATTTTTCCCCCAACCAAACCAGTATTTTGAATACATCTTTCTGGTTAGGGATGTATGTATCTGTGTGTGTAAAGATGTGTAAATTGAAGTGACAGTTCTCACCCTACTCTATCATTCATCAGCTTGGAACTTTTTTGGTGATGAAGTATTCAAGCTGAATAGCACATTGTCTGAACACTGTACAGTCTGAATATGAGTAAGTCCCACAAGAACACACAATATGTATAGCTAATAGCTAACAAGACACCTGGCTCTAAGGCTTTCTTACCAAGCTTTCTGACTTGGACCTATCATCTAGTGAACAGTAGCCACATAATTACCTGTAAGTTTACGCTGACTGAATGTCAGTATCATTTCATAATGACACTCAGGAATTATACAGCATGACAAATAGCAGCAATTACATACAGTACTCTTAGGAATTAATTTCTATAATCAAACACAATGAAATATTTTGCAAGGCTCAAGATGATTTGAGGAAGTCACATTCCTGTCTTTTACTAGTAAGTTTAAATGCAGCTCTACCTGTTGTTGCAACAGTCCACTTTGGCAGTACAGGTGCTTTTGTTCTAGATGGTGCCAGTGTGGTTTTACTAAGAGCTGTGAGAGAGTTGAAAAGAAAAAAGAAGAAAAAAGAAAAAAGTTCAATGAGATGAAAACCCCAAAGACTTTTATGTGATGCCAACAACTCCACATTACAGACACAAAAGTAATACTTGCTGTGATGATACACACAAGTTTTGGTTTTTTTTCTTCCGATTTGGAAAGGCTTTACTTCTATACTGATTAATTGAAAAAAAAATACCCTTTTTTCCCAGCAACACTTGAAGTCCCACTGAGAATAGGTGAAATTAACTACTTAATTAATCCCCTCCTCAACCCAAATTTCATAAACAATTATTACCAGGTCTGGTCTGTGATTTATCAGATGGCTTTGGTCTTGCAGAAGTGAGACGTGTTTTATGAGGTGCTAAAAGAAATAAGGTTCAGTTTAAATGTTATATGTAAAAGGAACACTGATAGTGCAGTGTGATTTGCCAGAAAAAAGGTCCATGCATCAATGCGATACAGCAAAATGGACATATGAGAATTCTATGAGTTCCAATCCAAAATGCACGCTGAAAATGCTAGTTTCTTTAGTGGTCAGATGACTCTGTCATGCAGTCTGACCCATTACATTCATGTTTAGGTTTAGGAAAAGATATAAAATATTTTCAGCCAGTTACCCAACTGTATATGGATACAGAGTTAGCTCTGCAAGGTATCCATGGCCTTAAGACATTTAATTAGGTTCTGTAAAAAACAAACAAACAAAAAACCTCAAAATAAAACACCAAACTGAAACACCCCCCCCATCAAATATTCATACAAAACCATGAAACATTAAAATATTGCTGAGCAAACAACTGGAGGCATTCAATGCAGACACTGTGCAGACGCTGCTGAAGTATAGTGTTATCATCAAGGTTAAAATCAGAAGCCTTCAACCTTTTCTTATTGTCACCTTTCACTTGCCAAATAATTTTGGTATCTTAGTTGTTACAGAATCTGTGTGAATCATACTGAAAGCTGAAATTGTAAGCAGTAGTCATTGTCATGTGCCAAATTATCAACTTCTGTATCTCAAATTTTGAAATAAATAGAGTTAGGTATTTGGTATTCAAATCTAATAACCATTCTATCCACAACACTTAATCCAGTCTCTCTGAAGTGTCAGAGAAAATACTTATGCAGGAAATAACATATTACTCTTTTTTGACAGATAGATTTGGGAAAAGTTTTACAGATGCAGATTTAGTATTTTGTAGTTGACTTCCACCTATTTCCTTACATTTATGTTTGCAACACTATACATCTGAAGATCCAATACACAGCACTGTTACTGTTTAAAAGCTTCATATCATGATTGAAGCAATACTGATTAAATCTTGATTTTCAAAGCAATGAACAAAAAACATTTGATAAGGGGAAAAACAGATTTTCCTGTTATATATTTGAAATAGTTGTAAAGATAATAATGAACAGACTATTAAACCTTAAACTGTGCTGATTTTACTTAAAATCTACAGATTCTCAATGTAACTTAAGAAAATCCCCAAAATTACCTGTATGGAACCTTGGAATTTCAGTTGCTCGAGCAGTTTTGGGCTTGGGTGAAATCTGGTACGTTTCATTGGGAACTGAAAGTGGAGAAGCTATTGCTTATCAAATGCAAATTATTTCCTTTTAAACATAAGACACCACAGGTATAAAGGAAATTCAAACTGTCTTTGTGTAGACCATAAACAGAAAGAGTCAGTGCTAGAAACCTGGCTGCAAAACATGCTTTTATGCAGATAAAAGACTTTTCAAGACTAGGAAGATATATATCATTAATAAGTCAGACAAAAGAAGAAAAGATGATCAGGTAATGCCTTTTTATGCAGCTCTTGAGCCTTGTACATGAAGTACTTCTTTCTAGACAGAATTGCATGAAAGTAAAAATGGCTGAAAAATTAAAACCAGAAACATTCTGTAAATGCACTGGAATGTGACTAACAAAAGAACATGACATAGAGATATATTAAGGTATTTCTGTTGATTAAAGTGTAAGTTTAGCTATATACCAAAAGCAGAGAAAGTAAAGTCTTATGAAAAATAAACGGACATAATGTTGTCATTACCCAAAGTCATTTTGGACCCATCAACAACATGAACTGTTATAAGGTTAATTGATCCCAGGTGTGTTGCCCTTGGAGCTACAAGAAATAAAACATTGTTTTGTGAGAAGTGAAATTAAAGAATTTGGATTTCATTAAGGATCCATATCCTTTGTTTCTTTAAAACCTATCTACACATCTGCTAAGACAATTTTAACAGACATGAGACAGACATGTGTTCTGATTAGTCTGGATGCATTTTCATGCTGACAGCCAGACTCTGAAACTATTCTGCCAGGCTCCCATTAACTTCAGAACAAATGCCCTAAAGGATTTCTGACAGCCTTTGGTTTTTCTCACACTGTGTATATTAATTTGCACTTCCCTAAAATATTTCCAAGAGCTTGTACTAAACGTATTTATCTTTCAGACATTCTTCCCTCACTCAACTTCGATTGAATTTAGTGAAAGATATCTAAGTTACTGGATGAAAGGAAGAGGCTGACAGGCAGAGGTACACACTACATGTCTCTGTCTTTCAGAAATAAGCTTAAAATATGGAAGCTGGAAAGTAACCTACTTGCTAGCATAAACGGCAGTGGCTAAATAGTGCCATTTGTTTTAACAACATTCCTAACAATACTTTATTTGGCATATACATCATTATAGTGATTTAAAATATAACAGGAAAAGAACAAACCTATAAAGTCTGATTTCTAAAATTATTTGACTAAAACTGACTTTGTACAGATACCAAAACATGGCACTTAGGTAACGATGACATGATTGGAAATAGCTCTTATTCAACAGACTTGGAATCTAACTTGATTACTTAACAGAAACGCTTTCCGAATAATGTGCTTAGAAAATAATTTTTTTCCTGGACTCTTCAGTTTTATTTTCATAGTAATATATATATGTATAGTTATTGAATGAATAGAGCAGCCTCTGCTTAAATTTTTGGGACTATATAAAAAGGGCTGTAAGTTTAAGGGAAAAGAAGGGGAGGAATGATAAAACTACTCATTAACCTATTTGCCTAAAGCTAAAATATTATCAGTTTGGAGGTAAGATCAAAGAGTAAGAAAGATTAGGAGTTTTCTTGTAATCATGTTGTCACTCTCTCCTAACAATTTGTTTTTCTCCCATAACCTTCCTACCTAGTAATTTTTATGGAAATAGTTCACACCCAGGGCAAAGCTGAGGTATCATCATCCTTCATTATAAGTATGCAACCCTAAATCTACTGTAGTTACTTCAAAAATCACTGATAGGAAGATGATGCCTATACTCTTAGCATCAAACTATCTTGGACTGAGATTCTGTAACCTGAGTTTCAAAATTACTTGAGAAATTGAAGCAAATGTATTTAGGGTAATAAAATCCCCCCAAATAAAAGAACTTAGTGAAGCTGGCTACAGCAGCATATTTTTATTAAAGTTAATAGAATTAATTATATTTTTAATGGCTACTACCCACCCATTCAACAAACACATGTTAAAAAGCACAACTATCTTAACTTCTGCTCTCCATGGAAACTGATGAAATTCTTGGTTATTCTCTTCAATATAACATATTAACGTACTCTGAGCTGAGCAATGATACTAATTTTTGTCTACATTCATGCATGTCACATGACTGCAGTACTGGATAACAGCAGAAAGTGTGACTGAGGCACTGCCACAATACCACTTTTAAAATTACAAACTTTAAATTACCAGGTTTAGTCTGTGGTGCTTCTGGCCCAACAGATGTTTTCGGTTTGGAAGGAATGAGCAGTGTTTCTCTTGGAGCTGAAAGAAAAAGAAAACTATGATTATTATATTCTTCTGGAGTCATAATCTAATGCCATATTTAGCCCCCAGAAAATGCATGCCTCAAATGCCTGAAAAAAAGACAATAACAATTCCATTGCTTTCTGGAACCTGAAACAAAATGACTATCCAAAACACAGAAAAGTTCTAGCACTGTGCTGTAGAATAGATTGGGTTAGTGGCTAAAATTGTTCCTCTAAAAGAAAAATAAGACCACTGAGCTTGGTTGGAGATCTGACAAATACAGGCTTCTGACCAGACATGAGCTGTAGGCTATTTCTGCTTTACTTCTAGGATAGAACTGATACTCATTTGTATTAAGAAACATGCCTGTGTGTAAGCAGAATGAAGGATGGTGGAACGATGTTACACAAAATACCACACCAGAGCATGTCCTCTAGAAATTTCTCCATTGAAAAATTAAAAATACTTGCATCTTAACTTCAAGGAAACTTATTTACCCATTGTTGCCCTTGAATGCTCAGTGGTAGTAGAAGATTTTGTAATAATTGGTTGTGGAGTTGTCTGATGTATTGCTGTTAAGGAGAAAATGTGAAGAATCTTAGAATATTAAACTGTAATAGAAACAAAGTAGCATTTGCACTATTTCTAAAACTTTCAAAATGGCCCAAACTAAAGAGCAGCAGCATATCTTAAAAATCAACTGCTGATAGATATCATTATCTGTCTATTAACTTCTCCTATACATTCCTTCTATAACAAAAATGGGAAGAGATACCGCCCACCGCAACTATTTTTAAGACTATTTTTGTTTCAGTATAGCACATGATGTAGAAGCACATTGCAAAGGAGTTCTGTTGCATTTTATGGATTTTTTAAAAAGTACTCACAGAGAAGCATCTCTGATTATCAGGAAGTAATCAGAGAGAAGTCAGTCTATCTAGCCACTGAAATACTACATTTTAGTCATAATTTTCTATATAATAGAAGGAGGAAAAATATTTTTGATGCTATATTACAAATCCTCTATTATTTTCAGTGTAGTTTTAGCATATTTTGGATTGACTGACTTAAGCGTAATGCATTTGTTTCAACACAAAACCAGCTATGAGTAATTCCGTTAAAAAGCACAAAGCCTGAGGCTAAGGGAAAGAATGATTAAACACAAACACACAAACTTAAAAGAATGGCTCCATTACCAGGTTTGGTGTGTGTCACTCTCGGTTTTTCAGATGTTTTTGGTTTGGTATGAATGAACTGTTTTTCAGTTGGAGCTGAAATAAAAACAAACAGCACCCAGAACAATCACTGAAAAAACACACTGCTTTCATAGTACACAAGGAACATAAGTCCTATTTTATCTGTTATAAGGCAAATTATACAAGGGTAAAGCTGAAAATCAATCAGTTGGAATTCCTGCAAAGAAAGGAAACCAAATTAAATGGCCACTGACAAAAACAGACATCCCCGGAATTATATGCAAAGTTGTAGCTTTGGATGAAGCAGTGAAGAATATGGTCATGAATAGTATACAGTAAATAGACAGTAGTAGCCTACATCTTCCACATCTGCTGTACATGACTATCTGAGGGCAGGATCTATTTTTCAGTGGATCCTTTGTATCAGACTTGATTTGTAACTTTTTTGTTCTTATGTGGGAACTACTCAATCTTGTTATCTTCATACTGTTCAGTTAAAAATTCTTGCCATGTAGGAATCATTTAATGGGAAAGGTTATCTTAGCACTTGCTAGTCTGTACTCCACACCAGTGTGAGAGGTGCTCGAAACATCTGCCTTAGCCTGTGCATTCTTCATCTCCCTTGCTCTGAAGAACCATTTTCTGCATATGAATATTGCATCGTGGAGCCCCAGATGTGTATGACAGGGCACATAAACTTCATAAACCTATATAAAGAGATACCAAATGAATGCTAACCTAAGTATGAATGCATATAGGGAATATATATAAAAATAGAAACATATAGGGAATATATATTAAAATAGAAACATGATGAAAAGCATTTTTCATTTCCTATTCCTCAAAAAGAAAAAAAATAGTTCAAAGATTATTAAATGGCTATTAATACTTCATGAATACTTCATGATACTTCACTCCCAGAAAATCACGGTCAATGTCCATCTCAAACTGGGGACAGAGAATTGATTATTAACAAAGACTGAATGCAAGCAGTACTGGGCAGCAAGAGTGCTGCTTTGAACACTGACCCTTATGTGGTCCACATCTGACATTTAAGTTGAGAAGAAAGAATTCTCAGCTAATGTTTCATATATTTAAGCAAGTTTTCCCAACACAGATGATTAGAAGTTAGCAGAGAAGATGGCTTTAAAAACTAGTATTTGATTTGGAGGGTCACATAGCTGGTCTGTTTTAGTATATGTTACACTGTAGTTTATACCTTAGCATTTTCTCACAATTTTCTTCCGTAAAATTATACCACAAGGAGTGGAGCAGAAGAGTTTTTTAAGATGACAGTATCCATACCTCAAGATGCAGAAATTCAAGGAATCACTATCTGCTCTTTAAATAAAATTCCCTTTTACTGGAAAATATACGGCATTGAAAGGAATCATATCATTCTGACTGGAAAGGCTACAAGATGAGGAAAAGAACCTTCAAAACTAAATGAGCTCATGCATTATTACCCTTATCAAAACCAATGGGCAAGCAAGTACCTAGAAGCAGAGCAAAACTTTGTTAGTCATTTTTAATATTTAAGAATATCTCCTCTAACAAGAATGGAATATAATTTGTGAAATACACATGATTACCCAGTGTTGCCTTTGTTCTTTCAGGAATATGAGGAATCATAGTAGTATCTGGTTCATGGAAGGTTGGAATGATTTCTGTTGGAAAAAAATGTCAATAAATGCTCAGAATAATGAAGAAACTCTCCCTTTCCCTCCTGCCCCCTTAAAAAACCCTCAGTTCAGCACTATACTATGTACACCAGGGAAGGGAAAAGTTTTAAAACAGCAATAGGCATTTACCCTCAGAGATTTATGGTTACAAAGAGTTCATTTTTTTTGTTTGTTTTTAACATCTATATACTTAGAAAACAACAATACTAACCCTTCTGTGAAATCACTGATTATCTTATACAGGTCAGACAGATTTATGATGGGGAGTCTCCTAATTGAAACACAACTGAAGGGAATCTTCAGCCTAATCGATGAAAATGTGTATATAAAGGAAAAGCACTGCAACGGTCTTAAGAGGGTTCTCTCATAAGAGCTTCAAAAATGTGGTGCAAACAACTGAAGTGTGTTGCTCAAATACAAGTCGTGAATAAATTTTTATCACTGATTTAAACATATAGGTCACTACTATTTCTTCTCCTGGTAACATCGACACAGTATTAAAAAAAAAAAAAGTGGTATACCATCAGTAGTTTGACTTAACTGCATCACTGCAGATGTTTCTTAAGCTAGAATGATACTCAGGTAACAGTAAATGTAATGCTGACAACTCCCCCTGCCCACCCTGCTCAACTATCAACCGCAGCTTGACAAAAGACCAAATAATTTACCAGGCTTGCTGTGTGGAACATCTGGGATGGGAGTTGCTTTAGGTTTAAAGGGAGTACGTTGTGGTTCTTTAGGAGCTGAAAGAAAACACCTATTTTAAGGGCTTATACTCAAAAAAAAAAAAAAAAAGCCAGGTTTATTGACAGGCACTGCATACCTCATGCTTGCAGAGAGAAACAAGATCTTCACATGAGAGACTGAAAAACTGAGTGTCAGATACACACAGGAATTTAAAGAGAAAAGAAAATCATGAATGAAAACATGGGTGGAAAAATGATCAAGTAAACAAAAAACTGGAGGCAAGCAAAAAAACCCAAAAGAACACAGAGAACTGTAGTGGACATGTTTCCACCTGTATTTCAAAGCTCTTAACTGCAATACCCATGGCATGCTTGTCTTCTACAAGTGTCAAAGGAATCACAATGCGTGTGAGAGTGAAAGAAATTGTCTGTGAAGACAACAAAACAGCTAGGAATCTTTCCATACCTGGAACAGAGTAGGATTAAGTTCAACAAATAGAAAACAAATAAAAACCCCAAAAAGATGACATGTGAAAAGCAGACTAATGATATTTAATCTTTAGTCCAAGGAGCAGCAGGGAAAAAAATCATAATGACCACCCCAATGTAACTTCTTTACCTGTTGCTGTCTTTGGTTGTTCAACTGTAAATGTTGTAGGTGCCAAAACTTCACAAAAACAAGAACATACACAGAATTAGCAAAAGTACAAGCAAGAGGGTAAAAATGCTCCCTTTTACATGACTGGTTTATTTTCTAGTTGGAACACACAAATTTCTTTTTTTTTTTTTTTTTATTTTTTTATTTT